TCTGGGGAGCGTTTGAAGCCGAGCCAAAATGCCTAACGTTGCCTTCGAAGCCCATAAGAAGAGAGGAGGCAGGCTTCGGACAGGCCACAGAGAGGCCGCAAGAGGCCTGCCGGCTGCCAAGAGGCTTTTGAAGCCGGTCCAAAATGCCTCACGTTGCCTTCGGAAGCCCATAAGAAGAGAGGAGGCAGGCTTCGGACAGGCCACAGAGAGGCCGCAAGAGGCCTGCCGGCTGCCGAGAGGCTTTTGAAGCCGGTCCAAAATGCCTAACGTTGCCTTCGGAAGCCCATAAGAAGAGAGGAGGCAGGCTTCGGACAGGCCACAGAGAGGCCGCAACAGGCCGGCCAGCTGGTGAGGCCTCGGACAGGCCTTTGGAAGTGCTTGGAAGGGTTCTGCTAGGCTTGGCCAACTGCTGCATCCTGCGCCTTTGGACGTGCTTGAAGGGTTCTGCTAGGCTTGGCCAACTGCTTCACCCTGCGGTGTCCCAGGCGCCTCCCCGCCTAGGCTTTGGCTATAGGCCGGGGTCGGCGGATTATTGAAGAATGGATAATAATTTGATATAATTAGTGGTACTTATACAAGCAAACAAACACCAAGAAACGCTGTCAACAGTAGGCAGGTGTGTTTGACCTAGCTGTGGATGCGTCAGGTGCAGATTGCAAGTGATACCAACATTCAGATAACACGGGCCCTAGTGTGAAAAGGTATGAGCTTGCAATGGTTATCGATTTGTTGTGGTTGGGGAGAATAGGAGGCCCAAGAGTATGCTTGGCCAAGTGTTGCTTCTTTTAAAGTAGTGAAACCAATTCTTCTGGGTTTTGGAAGATCATGCTGACTCTCCGTAAAGAACCTGTCAATGTCATTCAGGGCAAGCAGAGTTGTAGTAGAGCTTCGTGTCTTTCAATAGTACTTGTGCCCGAAATAAGCTTTCGTTTGCCATGAGGTTGGTGTCTTCGAAGGGCCCGCAACATACCATGAAAGATTCATGGACGTCGGGTAAGTGATTCCTGCAATATGCACCGATGTGAGGATCCGAAGTACCCTCATCGAAGGGATGACACAACGATGACAACAGTTGATATTCAATGATATTCACAACATCGACTTGGAATTAATTTCCCTGCGAACATGCTACAAACTCCGATGTTCTTTCAAGACAGGAAGAATATGGAAGAAGAGGTGGGTTCCTTAAGAAAGCTTTTGTTCTAAGTGGCTTGCGAGGTCGCAACAGAGAGCCGAATGAGTGGTCGTTGATAGGTCCTTAGAGGTCCGCAGGGGGGTCCCGTTGTCGGATGTACCTCCAAGGCTGGAGCAACAACTCCTACAATGCAGACATGGAGAGGCTCTGATGCAGTTGGAACATGTTTGAACCCTCAGAACAGAACATCGAGATTATTGTTGTCCTGGCGGCAAGCTTTCCCTGCACCCGGCCTGGCTCCCGAGGCACGTTAGCCGATAGCTGCACATTCTTTGGCGCACGTGGGTTTGGAAGGACCTGATTTGGTGCCCCCCCGGCACAGGCGCAGCAGGCAGCGATGGCGGCACTTCAACACGTGCGACACCAGGCGGGAGTCGGACGGCGAAGTCTGGTCAAGTCCCAAGAGCACGCGCCCAGTCCGCCAAGTCCGCAGAGTTGCTGAAGATCTGAAGATCCCCGAATGAGTTGAACGAGACTTCATCGACTTCGTCATGTAGGTTTAACACAAACTCAAACTGCCCGTTCAAAGCGCACTTTGAGGTTGTCACCCAAGGTTTACTAGGGATGATGGATGATAGCCCTTGGGAATCTTCCAGCATCCTCCATGTCTCTTAGGTTTGTTCCAGAGGCTTTGGTGGACATAGCAGTCGCAGGTGACAATATGCAGCTTCATAGGCTTTATAATACCATATTATGGAAACGTATCTGTACATAGGACATAGTTTGAACATGTTCCAAAGCATCAAGCTCGGGGTGTTGCTTCGCTCTTGGGGGGTTAAGATACTCACTTGGGACTGAACTCTCACCTCAAACGCACGGTTGCCCAATTGATTTCGCAAACACTGTCCGTTCGGGTTTGTATGGGTCGGTGATGGGTCGGTTGTATTCGCTTCCCTCCGATGTGATCAGGATGTTGATGCTTGGAAAGGGATGGGAAAAGGTCTTTTGCCAAGAATAAACACTGGTTTCAGCGACTCGTGCAGGCTTGCGACTCCTTGCAGGAGAGGAAGCGGGAACCGTCCATGTTTCAAGGACCAGGTTTCAAGGTCATAGGATGTCATAGTTATTCAGTCAGGTGTTCAGAACTGTGGAATAGAACTGTAGCCTTTGTATGAATTGAAGGAATACACGCATGAATGCATCGATGAGTCCACATCAATTGTAGAGTCCAAACTCACTTGCCACAGAAGAGATCCGTGTCTTCATCTTCCATCATCATTGATGTGTTTTCATAGTCTGGGTTGTCAAGCCAGAAAGGGGAAGATATCAACGGCCTAAATAAACAACTTGGTTGGACCACTGTCAGTCAGTCCTCACCCTGTGTCCTCTCACTGCGCAGCCTCTGACTGGTTACGAGGAGCTGCATGAGATCATCGTGGACTTGTCCCGAAGATCGCAAGTCTTGCCGTCCTTGCTGGTGGGGGCCCAAAAAGATCAGTAACTTTCTGTGGTGCACCCTCCAGGGGGACTGCTTTGTTTTATATATTAAATTAGCAGCAGCAGGCAGCCACCGAATCATACACATTCGGTGAGACCCCTTTCCCACAGACCCTGTACCTCTAAAACCCTCTAAAAATTTAGAGGTCTAACGATGCCAATCAATGAGCATGTTCATAGACGGTTTAGAACAATTTAGAGTAGTTTAGAGTGCTACTGTAAAATTTTAAAGTACTACTCTAAAACACTCTAAAATTTTAGAGTGGCACTCCAAACCACTCTAGAATTTTGGAGGAAAGGGGTCTGTGGTCTCACTCTGCTTGGGGAGAGCTGTACGGGACATCTCCCACAGTCTTATTCTGCTTGGGGATAGCTGTACGGGACATCTCCCACAGTCTTATTCTGCTTGGGGAGAGCTCTCTGGGCCATCTCCCACAGTCTTATTCTGCTTGGGGATAGCTGTACGGGACAATTCCCACAGTCTTATTCTGCTTGGGGAGAGCTGCCTGGGAGATCTTCCAGAGGGCTCTCCCCAAGCAGAATGAGACCAAAGATCCCTCACCTCTAAAAAAAGAGTGGTTTAGAGTACTACTTTAAAATTTTGGAGTGCCATGATGCTGCACTGTTGGGATTTAGGTCCTATACATCTCCTTGCATGTGTTACCTGATGGGTCACCATCGGAGCTGGAAAGGCGCACCAACATGGCATCGGTGTTTCATAAATACACGTTCAATGCATTTGACATGCTTTAAACCAACTATGCTGATTTATATTCACGCATTTTACATGTCAAAGTGCAGCTTTGCGTCGCAGGCCATGCTCTTTAAATGAGGACTTGCAAGAGTTGGGCACAAAGATATAGAAGACGGATCATCGACGCGCAAAGAACTATCGCTGCATCAAGAACAAAGTATATACCAGCGTTGGTTCATCACTTTGTTAGAGTTAAAGGATCTATTTAATTTGATACAGTGAACATACACAACAACCGGACGATATCTTTGCTATTGATCCGAACCAAGAACAGCTATGAGGTTCGAAGACAATGAGCGGCCCAATTTTTCCGGTGAATGGACTTTGGTCAAGGCCGTGGCTGCCCTTTATTGCCAACTGCCAACCTGCGCTTGTTCAGGTAGATGGTGACTGGGATGCATTTCTCAAGGACACTCTTTTAAGCCTTCATCGCTCTGCTGCATCATGAGATCATGGCCTCGCTTCTCTTTTCATGTTCAGTTGTAAAGATTGAGACTGAAAACCAAAGGGTTGCATCTGCAGCCCCTTTTCGTTTCAAGCTAAAACAGCCGAGCGTGCGCTGTTTCATGGTAGCGGGGCCCGGTGTGGCTCAGTGATCTCGGGTAGCACCGCCTCGGCACGTGCCTTGGCAGGTGGTCCCGCCTCGGCGCAATACCTCGAAAGAAGAAAGGAGGTAAGAAGAAGCGAGGTCCTCGCTCCGCAAAAAGGGTCCAAGCTCGCATAGAGCGAGGAACCCAGAGGCGCTTGGATCGAATCCAAGCCAAGGCCGAGAAAGAGCACCCGCTGTTCCTAGGCCCAGGGAGCAGCTCTAGGGAACAGGGCATAACCAGGTTCGTTGTGGTTGAAGAGCCAGAACCACCTTCGACTGGTATTGTCCTGAAAGAGCCAAGCCAGACAAGGAGAAGGCGACGGAGAAAACGAAGCGGATCAGCCGAGAAGCAAGAGGAAGGGAACGAGAGTACCTTGCCTAGGTCACCAACAAGGGCTCCAGCGAAGACTGAAGAGTTTCCTGGGAGAAAGAACCGCCTTCGGCTACGATCGGCTGAACCTCGTCAGCAAAAGGTCAACAAGTTCCATCAGAGCCTCAAGTTTGCTTTGAAGGAAGGAAACGATAAGAAAGAGTGGAAGAGCCTTCGATGCCACCAGCGCGTGGCTTGGAGAAGCGAGTGGACTAAGAAACTTCCAAAAGGTTCAGTGGGAAGTTCAATCAACATCGAGCTGCCAGCCGACTGCAGTTCGTGTGAAGAGAGGACTATTGCTAGCAGACCTTTCGTGCGTGAATTCGTTCGTCGTCGTGCTCAAGGCCTACCTGGACTTCCAGAGAACCAGAGAAAGTCCCAGATTGCATCATTGGCTGTGTATCGGCCACCAGCTGCAGAAGAGAGCGAGGAAGAAGACCCTGAAGAAGACGATCCAGTGATTGATCGAGATCCAGGTTCGGATGTCGACTATGGAGGAGGGACAGACAGAGATGTCCCAAGTGTTGTTGTTGTTGTTGCAGCAGCTTAGGCAGCAAGTGACTGACCAACAGAGTCAGATCACGCAAATGCAAGCTGTACAAACGAGAGTACGCGGTGAAAGTGAGCTTTCAGGTATGGTTCCAACCTCCCAACTCATTCATCCAAGTCCTGAGAAACCAAACAACAGCTGGCTCAAGTTCAACAACCCAACTATGACCATTGACACACGTAGCATTGGTAAACCAGACAGCTTCAAGGGTGACCCAAAAGAGTATGCTGATTGGAGTTTGTTTTTAAGGCTTACATGTCATGCATCTCAACAAGATACATCGAGTTGTTTGAGAGAATTGAAAGTTCTCGGGTTCCAATGCCCAACCGATTGTTGGGTGAAAATGACAGAGCTTTGTCAACTCAGATGTACTATGTACTGGCAATGCTTGTCAAAGGCAGGCCATTGGACATTATCCAGAATTCTGGTCCTGGTGAAGGTGTTGAAGCTTGTCGTAAGTTAGAAGAAACCTATCACCCCAAGATTGCCAGCCGTTTCGTTGGTAGCTTGGCATTGATTTTGGCAACCAGGTTTGGCAGTGACATTGAAGCTGAGCTTGAACTGTTTGAAAAGAACATCCGTAGATACGAGCAAGAATCCGG